CCAGATTTGTGGTGCATAGAAACTGAATGTTGGTTCTGGTTCTGGATGCAGAGCAGAACCAGAAGACCCGAGAGGCCTGGAGGGTTGCTAGGACCACAGCAGATGTGTGAAGTATTGTGGTGCTAAGCTGTTGTCTGATGCAGGAATCAGATGATAAACACATGGATGAGTTTCTCTGGATCCTGCTGTTAGTCCTTTAGAAATGTTCTTCAAGTGATGGAAGCCTGACTTTGTTACTGACTTTATGTCACCCTGAAGGTCAAAATGTTCCAGCATTTTGATGAAAAGCCAAATATTTCAGACCTGATCTCTCTGAAGCTGGATGCTGACTGGAGGATGTGGATATTAAACTCATGCCAGTCTTCCTTCAGCATGTTGCGTCTGCTTTCAGGGTTAACTCGCCTGGATGGTTCAGTACTTTGAGCAACAGAACAGCTCATTTCAGATTCTTTCAGCGAACCCCGTTTGTGTTCCCTCGTTTATGAGATTTTCTTTTTCGTGGTTTCGGGCTGAAGGGACACACCCGTCACTTCCCCCGCGTCTGCCGGTGACATCTGTCTCGCTTCTCCAGACCTCCTTAAATCCCTGACACACCTAAAGATGATCCGATTCCTAAATGAGTCCCCAGACCTCAGGAGCTTTGGGTTTCCTTCAGAGAAATGGACCTGACAGAGCTACTGTTTGTCCTCTTCACACTGATCTGACTAACCAGGAGATCAACAAACCCCCACATGTTTTGCTGCCCAGGGGGCCCCCCGCTGACCCGCCTCCAAAAACACTGAAAGAAGAAACGAAAGAGGACAAAACATGAAGAGAGGCCTCACTGTCCCACTACGCCTCTTTTTCTTCTTTCTTTCTTCCTTTCTCCAAATGCCTGCGACATTTGAATAATCATTTGATGTCCATCGGTTTGAGCCTGAGGAGACGCAAAAAGGCCAACAGCCCCACAATCAAAAGGCAAAAACACACAAGGATTAAAAGCTTCTTCAAAACTTTTAATCATCAAAAACATCTTAAGGTCCTGGACTTGGATCTGTTGCTCAAACTGAGACTCACAAGATTTTAAAAAAGTTAATAAATGCCTCAGGATCCATGTGATCTATAAACAGGAGACATCAGATTACAAAATGGCAGCTTTGTTTATAATCACGGTGAAATCTTTGTTGAACTAATCATCCAAAAATAATCGCAAAAGGCTTAAGTGAAATGTTAAGTTATTAAATATTTCAGTGTAGCTTCAAAAACAGGTTTATTTTTCCTTTATTAATCACACACTTTACCGTTTTTCTATCCAGTTTTTACCAAAAATTGGATGATTAAAGTCTTCAGTCTGATGAATTTTTGTCAAAGGGTAATTTTGTTTAGAAATTTCATAATTTATTTTATTTCTTGTTTCTGTCGTTTTTTGTTGTATTTATTTTGGATATTTAAAATTTCTTCTAGTTTCTGTGTTAAATGTTTGTTCAAATTTAGACTTTATTGATCTTTGAGAATTATTACACCATTAAAATGGTCTCAAAACAGCAATATTATTATTTATCACGATAAATTCTGGGACAATTTATCATCCTGCAAAATTTGTTTAAAATACTCAGAATTTATTTCTATAAGTCAAGAGTTTTTAAAAATGAAAGTGTCTTGATTATTAATGTTTGATGATTAAAGTTCAGATTAACCAGACTTATGTGTGCCGTTCTGAAAATAACGGGTTTGTTCTTCTTGTCTCAAGCAGAATCAAAAAGCTGGCCAACCTGTAAGATGTCATGAAAACCAGAACAATTAAGCCGTTGTTCCCTCCTTATGAAGTCATATGACATAACCTTTTTTCCCAGCAGGGCAATCAGGTTATTCTTGTGAACCACCACCATCGTCGTGTCTTCATTGCTGCACCGTTTTCAGTCCCTCATGTCACGACTGAAAGGAATCAAAACACTGTTGGTGCTGTCTCTGTGGCGACAGCTCAGGATTCAGAACTTCCCGTCTGGACCGAAAAGTATCTGTATTATGATCTCCTCTAACGGCCGTACATGTTGACTAGCCAATAGTTTGAGGTAACATTCTAATGCCATTTTTCAGACTTATTTGGGTAAAATTAACCTTTTGTTAGTCTTTCATAAATTGATGCACTTGTGAGTGAATCTTCATGGCAAATTTTCAGAAATTTCACACCTTAGTTACATTTCTGCCTCGTTTATACTGAGGTGAACGGTTTGGTTCGCTACATTACTTTTAGTCATAATTTCACCGTGTCATTCATTCATTTAATAATACCTCAGTTTCAAACTAAATATCTAGCTAACAAACAAAATATTTAGCTTTGAATTAAATATTCACCTTGCAGGCTAATTATTTAAACAACTAAATATTAAACTCTGAACTAAATGTTTTGTGAGCAAGCTAAGTATTTAGCCTATTTAGCTTCAAACAAAATATTTAGTTGGAAAGCTAAATATGAAGTTAAAAATATTGAGCTAACTAGCTAAACATCTATCTTCAAGCTAAATCTTTTTAGCAAGTTAAATATTTAGCTTTACAGTAATGTTTAGATAAACTAAATAGTTTGATGTCTAATATTTATTTGTAAAGCCAAAGAGTTAAACAACGAAACAAGCTAAATATTTAACTTCACATAAAATATTTAGCTGGTGAGCTAAACATTTATTTTGAAGCTAAGTAGTTAGTTTCAAACTAAATATTTATTTAGCAAGCTATACATTTAGCTCCCAACTTGATATGAAGCAAGCTAAATGTTTAGTTTGAAGTACTTGGCTTGCTTGTACTTTTTGTACTGTAAATGACAAGGCAACTGAAGCGTCACTTCATGTAGCGCCATGCATAGCTAAAGCAGATAAATCCCACAACATCAGCAAAACGTAGGTCTGGAGTGTCAAGTTTAGCAATGCCAAAAACTTTGCATAAATAACAGCAATGATGTGGGTGGGAGTTATTTAAAAACTCCCTCATCAGCTGCATTTATGCTGAGATTAAAGTACAGCTGCAGTCATTTTACTAGCCATCTGAATGTATCTGCTCTTCATTTAATTTAGAGGCTTCTGAGTAAAGAGTGAATGCAAAAGCATGCCACACTTTTCAGAATCAATCGACGTTTATCACTAAAGTTAGTTGTTTTTCATTAACTGAGTTTTGAAAATAAAAAATATCAGTTTTGCAAATTTCAACAGGCTAAATATGCCTAGAGAAACTCATTTTCAATTAATAAACTTGGACTATTTTCATTTTAAATCTGTATTTATGCCATTTTTGGGTCATAACTGTAAATATTTATGTCCAAATCCAGCATGTGAACACATCTAAATCACAGAGGCCTCATTCTGGCTTAATGAACAACTTACTGTCTGGAAACCTGCCCTCACAGTCGACATAACCACGAATTTATGGGTACAGGCTAATGAATGGATGAATAAAATCTGCTTTAATGCACAGCGTGTTGTTTTGAGCAGCAGTAAAATCCAATCAGCCGTAGCTCTGTTACAGCCAAACAAACCCTCTCTGTGTGCCAGCGGTCTACCTGCGGACGGTGTTGTAAAGCTCGCACACATTAACAGGCTTTATGGAGTGTTGAGAAAGCTCCTTAACAACCAGCATATTCAACACCAAGACACGCCCTCGCAGCGTTTCAGACAGAGACGGCCTTTCAGACCACAGCCCTCCTCAGCGGAGAGACGCTACCTGCCGATTTTATCAGACAGAGCAGAGAAAAGACGAGTCAGATAAGGGGAAGAAAGGAAGAAGAGCGTCACGGCTGCACACAAACAACAACAGCGTGGAGCTGAAATCCCGCTGATGTCAGCCTGTTTGACTCTGAAAAGCAAAACGTTCATCTCTTTCTGGTGTTTACCGGTCAATAAAGGTGAAGTCACATCAGATTCCTGAGGTGCAGAGCATTTCATGTGTGTAATTCTGGTTTCACTGGCAGCAGAGGCGATGCTTTGGTGATAAGGTCCTGGGCTCCAAAAGGAAAAAGGCCCCCCTGTATAAGGCCCCCCCACTGGAGATTTCACGACATTTTCCTTCTGTTTCTGTTGACAGTTATTGTTCTGCATCTTTATAGCTTTGAGCTCTTGTTTATTTATTGTCTTGATCAAGCAGGTAAAATTAAAAAATAAAAAATCTCTGGTGCATTTTAAACTTAATTTAATTTTGCCACTTTTCATCCGAGTTACGCTGCTTTAAAGTCAAAGTGAAAACCGATTTCTTCAAATTAATGACAACTAATTAAAAATATTTCATATAAAATAAGAGAATATTTTTTTTCCCAACAAGACGACAACCCAAAGCATCCAGCTAAAGCTAAACAGAGATGAGTGAAGACAATGAGGATCTGCAGTGGCATAGTCAAAGCCCAGTCCAGTCAAAAATGGAGTAAAACTTTTTTTTTTAACAAACTTTAGTCAAACTTTTTGCATTGATTTAATTTAACTACGTCACTTTTAAACTAAGAGCAATGTGAAGCAACAGTTGTGTGAGAAAAAAAAACAGATTTTATTTAATTCTAGAATAAATCCTGTTTCTCTCCTCCATGTTTGTTCGTTCGGCCGTTCCTGCTCTCCTTCCTGTTTTCTCTCCATGTTTCCAGTCATTTCTTGTTTCTCACTCAGGTGTGTGTCGACCCTTTTCAAGAAGCCGTATTTTTTTATTTATTTTTTTCTGACTCCAGGCCAAGCCGACGGTTCTCACAAAGATGGAAAAGTTACCAGCGGTGTCGGTTGTGGGGCCGAAATGTTTTTGCACGTGATGTCGGCTGAATGGCCTCAGTGTTTCAACACAGCCAGCTTTAATAATTCATGACTCATTTGCTCTGTTTATACGTCTGATTTATGTTTTTGTTTGCTTTCAGACGGTTTTGAGCGTAATTTTAACCTCAAATTCAGGCTTATTGGTTTATATTTCCTGATGTTTTGAATATTAATCATTCATTTCCATCAGTTTTTAACAATAAGGTGTAAAATAGTTTAATAATCCTGTTTATTTTTCTGCAGTGATCTCAGTATGAATAATCTGACTGTGATGACCAGTGGAGCTTTGTCCAACCTGCACTTCTTGGAGGAACTGTGAGTAAATTTAACAGACATTCACTGCTTGCACATATAATCCCACTTTATGTGTAATTAATAGAAATTTTAATAGGAAAATGTTTGATTTAAGCAAGTTTAACTTGCCTTTAATGATTCTATTCTATTTCTATTTTCTGTTCATGTATTTTTTCGGCCAAATACGGTTCTAAAATTCTTTTTTATCATCTCAAGTTGCTTCCATCTGCTCATAAATCCATCATGACTGATTATGTTTACCCATCAGTTAATTAGGTTTTGTTAATTATACAAATTATTTTAAAATCTTGTCAATTTAAGACAGTAGCGTCTAAAAATTTTGACCACAAATGAAATGTTGATTCTACTTGTTTTTCTTTTTCTTAAATTATAATAGAATATATCTATTTTTATTTTTACCTGCTCAACAATAAACATAATCATTTTAGTTTTCAAACATAAAAATTCCCCTGCAGGTTTCCCCAGATTAAACAAAAAGCAGTAGAACTGACATGCATCCTTAAATTCTTCAGATTGATCTTTTTTTTTTTTATCTTTGTGCAATTTAAGTAACAAAATCCAGATATGGCAGACTCTTTCCTTATTTTGGATGTTTTTTTTCTCTTTCTTTACTAAAATAAATAAAATTCAAAGCAAAAACCTGAATGAAAACTTTGTGTTTCACCTTATATTATTCCATTTTAAGATTTTGCACCTAATGTTTTAAACCAAATTTAAGTTGTTCTTGAAATGTGATCAAATTGTTCAGAGGGCCGCAAACGGTCCCCGGGCCACACTTTGGACACCCCTCACCTAAAGAAACCCACTAGATTTCATCAAGTTGTTGACTTGCAGCTTCAGGAAGCAAAGGGTGACAGTGGAGAAGAAAAACTTCCCTTTAATGTTCAGAAATGTCCAGCAGAACCAGGTTTTTTATTCCTTTGAAACCGTTTGGCAATATATCTAGTATTTCGTCATATTTTCTGCAATAAAGTCGGAATAATTTGACTTTATTCTAGAAATATCATGACTTTTTCCTCATATTGTTATTAATTTATCCTCAAAGTATTATGATTTTTTTATAGTATGAAGACTTTATTCCTGTAATTGTTTTAGTTTATTGTCGTATTATTCTGACTATCCTTGTATTTTCTTTCTTTGACCCTAATCCTCTGTTTTCTACTCATTTGTTGTGGTTTTATTTGGTCAGAATGAACCTTTTTTATGACCGTTTTAGTTGTAATTTGTTTTCAGTCTCTGTGCTCCTTTTCATGTATTTCCATGTGTTAGTGGTTGGTTGTTCTTATTTGATGCCAGTTTCACCACGCGACTCTCTTTCTGTTCCTTAGTTTATGTGTTTGTGTTTATTTTTGTCTTTGTAATGTGTTGTATGCTTGTTATACTGTAATTTTCTCTCTATTTCAGGTTATTGTCTGTCTATTTTTACTCGGTCAGTTAGATTTCTGGGTTAAATATCTTTTTTTAGCCACTGCTTGGAATCATAATTCACTGAAATAAAAATCGGTCAGCTATGAAACAGAGGTTCGGATCAGGTGTTATCTGGGCAGCAGTGGTAAATAGTTTTTTCTGATTCTGCACACTTTGTGTTATGTTGTGTGATCAGATCTGATGTGTGGTCAGTGCCTGGCGGCCTGAGATGGATTATGTCTGAAGTTTGAGTGTCTGATCGGGCGAGGAGCTCGAATGTCTTGGAGGATGCGATATGTAATCTCATCTCTCCTCACCTCCCAGCAGCGCCGCGTCGCGTCCGAACGTTTTCCCGACTGGACTAAATTAAAAAGCAGCGAGGCAGCTGGGAGAGACGGCCTGACCTCACCGAGACCTGAACATGACTCTGGCCGCTGTTCTGCTCCGCTGCCAGCTGTGTGTGTGTGATATTTGTCGCCGCGGCGTCAGAAACGTCACGGCGGCGATAGGACACCGCAGGCACGCAGGGAGGCTGAACTCTGCGCGGCCTCTGGAAAACAAACAGACCTGGAGGATTCGTTTTCCCGCCGGGTTTTTACTCCGCAGGGCTTGGAAGTCGAGCCTTGCCGAGAGATTCTTGCACACTTTGCAAACACAGAAATTAGAACCTGGCTCGAAGTCAGAGCTCCTAACGATGTGGTGCCTTGCTTAAGTATTTATACCCTTGAATTGTTTCACGTTTTCTCACATTCCAACCACAAACTGCAAAGCAACACAAACTGAGGCAGAAAAACCTGAAGCTTCAGTCTCTCTTTAAAATAAATCGCCATTGATCTTCTCTTTATTTTTGTCTTTATGGTGTAAAATGATAAAAATGTCTATAAAATCAAACCAAAGTCATCAGAATCTCTTTTTGTCTCAGACGTTTGGCAGGAAACGATCTGTCCTTCATCCCCAGAGGAGCGTTCAGTGGCCTCTACAACCTCAAAGTGCTGTAAGCTCCCACATGTTTGCACCGCAACTCTTCTGATTACTGCAAATATTTACAAGTCCAATAATATGATATCATTTTACTTTCACAGAATGCTCCAGAACAACCAGCTGAGATCAGTTCCTGCTGAAGCACTCACCAACCTTCACAACCTTCAGTCTCTGTAAGATTCATTCAAATTTAATCCTTTAAAAAGTGAGTCAGATGCCAATACATTCTGCTTTTTCTTTCATACATTTGTACATGAAGCTATGTGATGGTTTGATTAAAAGATTTTATTTCCTGGAAACTTTTTAATGTTTATGCCTCGGGTCGGATCGGTATGCTATTCTATGCTACGCTATACTATTCATATTGTATTTATTTATTTTCAAACAGGTTTTTAAAAACAATAAAACAACTAATGAGTACAAGAATCAGTTCTGTTTGAAAAGAAGCATGCTATGCTATGCTATGCTATGCTATGCTATGTCATCCTGAGATGTTGTTTGGGAAAAAAGATATTTAAATTACTCGACAAAATTTTTTAACAAATATTAAAATTTCCTTCTAGATTCTTCTATTAAGAGATTCAAAGACCTGGTTTAGTATATAATAAATTAACTATGTATAAAAACACTTTTCAATGTTTTCTGAGATTACGTCGCAGATTAATCTGAAAGATGGAATAGAATAGAAAGAATAGAAATGCAAAATCAAAAGTACTTTATTGATCCTAAAGGGAAATTGAATGTTTTTTAAACTTATATTATAGCAATAAGTTAAACATTTATTTCTAAATAAATGTTTTATTTTAAAATAATTATATTATTATCCCATAATGAGAAAATTCAGGTGTAACAGCAGCAAAGTGACAACTGAGGCATTTAGGTTCACACATAATTTTACAGTTCTCAGCAGATATTAGAAAACTAAAACACATTGAGTCAAAAAGAGATGCATTCCTGCTGATTCAAGTTCAAAACATTGAGTTAGAAATGCTGTCAGCCATAATTTTGTATTTTTCAGAGTACAGCCCTTGTTTCCCCTATAATTTATACTATTAGTAATATCTGAATGTATAGAAATGTATTTTTGTTTCAAGATTGCTACTAATCTTTAAAGTGTTGAACTTAACAGACTGGATAAGGCTGTTTTATTTGCATAACAGACTAGTCATTAGCTAGCTGTGACGTCACAAAGAGCCGACATTATTTATCAAAGCAACTCTATATTTTTATAGTTGGTAAGTCACTTCCGGTTTGAGCGCCGTCGTGATGGCCGCCATAGTGATCCTAAGAACACCGAGCCCCGTTAGAAGGACCCAAACGTAGGAGAGGTGAAAAAGGACTGAGCTGAGCGAAATACACCAACTTGATGCTTCGACGTGCCAAAAAGTTAGGAGCTTAAAATACCGCTAGCATCTCGGCTAATGCTAACCGCTACTCATTACGAACTTGCGCTGTTGTTGTACTTTGTGACTTCAGACAAGCAACCAACTTTGTTCCGAATTGGAAACCTGATAAATATCTGTCTTGTCTTTATCGTGTTCCTTTTATTTTAATGAATTTATGAAACGTATTTCTGAAATATTTTGAGTAAGCCGACAGCTTTGATGCCCCCTACTGGTCGCCGGTTGTACTCACTCACACACACAGATTCTCATCCTGTCTCATTTTACTCTGTTGGAAAGAACCCCACACACACACCTACACACACACACATGCGATAACGTGTGCAGTGCAGACAGTGTGTACTTTCAGCCTGATGATGCACAGTAATTATACTGAAACTGAAGCCGTGTGTGTTCAAATAAGGGGTTTAAGAATGGAGATGTCTTTAGGACTAAGGTCTCTAATTTATCTGATGGACGATTATGTGAAGTCCCATCCTTCTCGTCTCTTTGTGGCCGAACAGAGGAGTCATTGTTAGGACGGACACTCAGACAGACACAAAGCGCTCCACATGTTTCTGCAGGACGGCCTAATGAAAGCCCTGCTGGGTTTATATAAACCTAAGAGACAGAACCAGAGTAATAAAGAAAAGCACATAATTCTTAATTACAATCCATTCACTGGCATTATTACTTATAAAATTAAAGCTGCAGCACCTTCACCTACATTTAAACACTTTATTTTGGATTCTTAACCCCACTAGTGACAAAGAGCTGTGTTTTAAACAATAAGGGGAGATCAAATTGAGCTTTTTCATGTAAATTAATGAAATGTAAAGGGAAAAGAAAAATTGCCATATATTACAACGGAGTAATATATGTTTTCATTGTGGATAGAAAAAATGAGAAATTTCCACACAAAAAAAGTCTGAAATTTTGTAGAAAAACCTCTTGAAACTCAAAAAATGTCCAGAAGTTAAATATTTGTGACTTCTGAAAGAACCTGGACCTTTCCAAATGTTTAAAAATTTGGACTTTGAACTCAAACCTTTGTTTCTTGATGATTTCTGAGATTCTTAAAATAATTTTATCCTAGAAAATGTTCAACTTTTTGACAATTCAAGTTAGTTGTAGAAAATTTTTAAGATTAAACTCAAAATTTTTTAGATTTGTTTTGGTGGAAGTGTCACCATTTTTTATTTACAATGGCACTAATAGGCAGGTTACAGCATTTTTTGCAGTGCTCTGTTGCTTTTGGGGTTTTTGTGTTTTCATTCTTCATGTTTGAAACACGTTTTGCACTTTGCTGCGTATTTGCACCTGTCTGCCTCTGAAAAGATTACTCTTTCAGGCTAAATAAATGTTATTTTACAGATGTTGTCTAAATATTAGCTTTGAATTTCTATAATATTAAGAAATTCAAAACTAAATGGATACGTAAAATTTCCAGAATTTCTGTTGGAAAAAGAAAGAAATCACACACATTCAGAATTTCTTTGCTTTCTCCAGCAATTATGCTACAAAAACAATGAGAAAAGTCTCTAAAGGAAGGAAGGAGCTGAGGATAAGTATTTGGAGTTTGTAAATATATACTTTCGTTTGTGTTCCTGTTGAATACGTTTCTCCTTAAACTCTCTGAGCAGTCAGTGTGAGAGCTAATTAAAATGCTTCAGTTGGACCAGAGAGGCTGCTGGCTGGTTAAGAGGCTCTCGAACCAGCTGCCGATCATTCCTCTCCTGGTCAAACACTCGATGCCTAATTTTCCTCTTAAACTACTTCAGATTTAGCAAAGCTTTTTATTTTGTGAACACAGGCCTCTTCTAGCACAGCTTAAAAAGGTTTTCTGTTTGTTTGTGACACCACTTTAAATAGCGCCTCTATTTGACTTTGGACTTGAACAGAAAAGTTTATAATCACAGGAAACAAAACAACATAAAACTACTGAGACACTTTCATAAAGACTCATCAGGAACAAAAGAAAAAATTTCCTAATTCCTTTTGCATTGTGTTTGTTATTTGTAGACGTCTGGATGCGAATCACATCTCTGGCGTTCCGCCTGGCTGTTTCTTCGGTCTGCGCTCGCTTCGGCACCTCTGGCTGGATGACAACGCTCTGACGGAGGTGCCAGTGAAGGCTCTCGGAGAGCTGCCGACCCTGCAGGCCATGACGCTCGCCCTCAACCACATCGCCCACATCCCCGACCACGCGTTCAGCAAGCTGGGTCGCCTAGTGGTGCTGTACGTACAGAAATTATTTTACAGCCTCCGGTTGCATCTGAAGCAGCTACTTTCAGACCAATACTGGACCATTGCAATACATCTTCTGTTTTTCTTTCATGTTAAATATAGTTACATTTTCTCCAAAATTAATAATGTGCATTTTAACGGTGGCCCAGAAGGGCGAAATGCAAAAACCACAATGCTACAACAAAGCTATGCTAGCAAATGTATCATAACTTGCATTTCATGCTGAAACAAAATGTTTATTAAAGGAAGTTACATTATCAGGTTTGTCATAACTCAAGTTTTATGCCAATACAACATTTTTGACGATTGTGCTGAAAAGTTGCTCATAACTTGCACTTTATGTTAAAACAAATTTGTAGCATAAATTGAGCTATACTAGCAAATTTATCATAAATTCTGTCTTATCACAAAACAGAAAAATTATACATTTTCGCATATGGAATTAATGCAAAAATGAAACATATGCTAAATAGATGTTGACTTATAACAGAATCTCTGTTTTGTCTTAATGTACATCTTAGCGTTAGCTAAAGCTAAGATGGAACTTGTGCCAAAGAGAAGTTATGCTAGCAAGTTTGTCATAACTTACTTTTTATGCTAAATAAAATGTTATGCTATAAATGAAACTCTATGTTAGCAAGATTTTAATAATTAATGTTGTATGCTAAAACAAAATGTCATAAAGCTATAATACACTTTGTGCTAGAAATGTATTTTAGCTTAAGTTTTATGCTAAGGCAAATTGTTACAAAATGGAATTTATGTAAAGGTTATGCAAAAACAGATTACATGTTTTAGGATAACTTACGTTTAAGCTAATGATAAAATGGAACCTACGCAAAAACAGAAGTTATGCTAGCAAGTTTAGCATACATTCAATTTTAGCATCACTTGCATTTAATAGTTTTTCCTTCCACTTAACTTTTTAAGAAAATGCTTTGATGCAGCACTGTGTGACAGAATAATGTCAGTGGCCGAACAAATGTCTTCCCCATAATTTGTTAGGACATAATGTCACATTTATCTTATTAAAGTATGTTTTATTTTGCAACTCTGCCTTAATGCACTAATTTGTGCAAAATGCTAAATAAATGGCTGAAATATTTTACATTTTTATAAGAATCTAGATAATCTATGACTAAGTTTTTTGTTATCTTGATAGAGAGACATATAAAATCTTGAACTATTCAGTATTTTATAGATTTTTGGTTTTTATCTAGTTGTCATGCTCTATATTGATGTAAAGCAAATAGAAATGTCTGTGTTATGTGTTGTTGATCCTCGCTGTCCCTGTCTGTCCATGTTAGCTCTTTAATAACATGCAAACTCCCTGTTTGTGTCCGCGCGATGACATTCAGAGCGGCGTCATTGAAGTCCGCTGTCATTCCTTTTGTCCAATCGGCTTGAAGCTAATCTGCATTAAATTACCAAAAAGAAAAAAAAGCCTTCTTGAGAGGCTTCAGGGCCCCTTTTAAAAAGACACATACACACTCTTTGTCCGCTTCATTAGTCCATCAGTTTCTCTCGCTCTCTCTGCAGGCATCTCAACAACAATAGGATCGTTTCCATGGGCAACAACTGCTTCCACGGACTCCACAGTCTGGAGACGCTGTGAGTTTCTGTCTGTGCGTTTTGTTTCTGATGACGAGTTCCAGCAGAAAGGTTAAGTCGGGGTCATGGAGGCAGATTTTTGTTCTGAAACAACGTTTTCTCCAGGTTCGAGTCCGACCCAGGGAGCCTTTCTGAACAGATTCACTTCATGCTGATGTCAGGAAAAATCAGCATGAAGAGCTAACTCTGCTAATATTGTTCTAAATTAGGAGTTAATTAAATTTTCTGATAATTTTCCAACAATAAAATACTAAAACACAGATATCTGACTAAATTGCAGCAATTTTTGAAATAAATTTCACATATTCTTAAGTGAAAGTCCAAACAGTGATTCACTTGCAAAAGAAAGGGTAATTTTCTCTGATTAAAGGCATTCATTATGATATTAAAGGTCAGAAAATGGAAAGATTAGATATTTACTAAATTATTAATAAAAGATTGAAGATGTTGATATAATAAAGGACATTACAATGTCAGAATGTCTTTTTATGCCTTTAATCATTAAAAATTTATTTAGTTTTTCTTGAAAACTTACATAGTTTTTTTTTTCTTGTGACTGTATGTAATTAACCAAAACATTTTTGTGTTTTTTTGTTTCTGAAATTGACTCCTGCTCTAATATGCTGTGATAGAATTCAGCATTATCCCAAATTTGAAAATCAAGATTTAAAAATTCAAAACTTGACATGAATCTCATTAAAAAAGGTAAAAGGAGAAGAAAAAATGAATGAAAAATTCAGTATTTACAATTAATAACCGATGGAATCTGTCTGAATTTAAAACAGCGTTAGGTGAAAAGTACCTAATAATTTGTTTACAATATAATAAAGTGTAAATCAGATGAAATGTCTGGTTTTGTTCCTTTTTGTTTAGGATTTTAAAAGTTTTCTTGCATCTCGTCAAATATCATTTTGTCACCAGAACTGTGATTCAAATCCTAATCAAAAGAAAAGTTATTAGTTTACATCTCTGCTTTATATTTTGCATTAAGTAAATATATTTTAGTGAGCTGTTGCATGAAATGGTCAAAACTAATGAACACTTTCATGATATTTATAAAGATAAACAATATTTAAGAATTTGAAAATTATGAAATTGTAACTGATTTCTTTGGGAAAATACTAGTTAACATATTTAACCACAACTAAACAGTTTCTACTTATAAATTTGCATTACTAAAATACTTAGTTCTTTCTGGAAAGGGTACCAAAACCGTTTCCAGCCCACATCGTTGTAAATCCGGTATTTATTACTGTAAAAGTGAATTTATTGCCCAGTTGGCTTCTTGTTGTCATCAAATACAGAACAGCAACGGCCTTGATGATAAAAAACAAAAATAAATCAGACGAATAATTCACTGATTTATATCACCAGCCATGTGTTTTTCTTTCCCAAATAACATAATTACTTATTGTAAGGCGTATTTACAGAAAATAACTGAGGAGCCAGGATGTAAACGAGCGTGATTTAGTGTATTTATGTGTCGTCCGAGGAATGTGTGTGTGTGAATGTGTGTGTGTGTGTGTGTGTGTGTGTGTGTGTGTGTGTGTGTGTGTGTGTGTGTGTGTGTGTGTGTGTGTGTGTGTGTGTGTGTGTGTGTGTGTGTCTGTGTGTGTGTACATGAATTTTTCAGGTTTAAACGCTGCTCTGGAAATACTTGAGCAGAAATGTGCACTGTGTGTGGCCCGGCCTCTATGCTAATCTTAATTATGCACACACGGGCCGCATGTGTTTATGTGCGAGTCGGGAGGCTGTATACCTGGACAATCAGCAATAATAAACCGTGGGGCGCTCTGATACTCGCTCAAAACTACAAACACAAACAGGGACAAGCAAACGGAAACGGGGATTAATTAATGCAGCCGTGTTGGTTCAGCTCAGGCTGATTTCAGCTGAGAGGAGAAACCAAACGCAGACGTCTCTCAGGAAGCAGCAAATCAAGAATAAACTAATTTATTCAAGAATCCGAGAAGGAAAAAGCAAAGAACTAAAATCAAAGTCATGACAGACGCAACATTCAGTGTGTTTTACTGGGATTTCATTATACAGAAACTTGTGAATAATTGTAACATGGAAGGAAAATTATGCAATATTTCACATTTTCCTACAAATAATACATCTGAAAAGTGCATTTGTATTCATGTCCCTTTTTTATGACTCCACTAAATAGTTCAGCCAGCTGCCTTAAAAAAATCAATTTAGTTAGAAAGATAAACATTTAATTTACAAAATGTTTAGTTCCAAACTAAATATAAAGTTGAAGAACAAAGTATTTAGCTCCAAAAAATATTTTAGTTAGTAAACTAAATATTTAATTCCATGTACATTTGTAGGACCAAGACAAATATTTAGCTACAAAGCTAAATATGTAGTTAGCCAAACACAAAATTTAGGTCCAAATTAAATATTTTGTGAGCAAGCTAAATATTTTATATACAAAAAAGTATTTGGTGCCAAATCAAATGTGTAATTTACCAGCTAACAACCTAAATTATTAGCTCACAATCTACATTTTGAGAGAAAAGAAAATTACAAACATGCAGGAGTTTAGATAAAAGTTTGCAAAATAAAACTTTTATTTTGGTAGTTCTTTTCCTGTTATATCAGCACGTGAATTTGAATATTGGCTAAATATTTAGCTGATAGCTAAATGTTTAGGTTGGTGCTAATTAAATTATGCTAATTAGATATTTAGCTTCAAAAAAATTAGTTAATTCTAAGCTAAATATTTAGTTTGAAGCTAACTAAATAGCCTGCTAATAAAGCAGAAAACATAGAATAACATAGTGAAATGAAAATAAAACTTAAACATTAGAAGCCAAACAACCCAAAATATTGCTGTTAATTTTTCACTTTAACTTTACAAACAGCTCCCTCTTGTTAGATTCAGTTTTCTGAACTAATTTTTGAAATTATCTTAATTCTCCTCCAAATCTATCGCACTAAATCGCAAAAATTACCCTCACAAAATGTGATTGCTTATTTTTTCCATTCGCTGCGACGCTTTCCTGTTGAAATAAGCACCAAGGTATGAAAATGGAAATAAAACCAAGTGGCGATAAACACATTGCTGCTCCACCTGCGCTTGATTCAGTTTTCGTTAAAATTTATCCGGTCACTATAAAACGTGATGAAAACCTTCAAACGGTTTGTGGATCTCTAAATCGTCAACAATCACAACCTTCCAAACTCCATAAAAAGATCTCTGGAAAGAACGCAGCTCAACTATTGTTGTTAGCAGTGATCCTCTGAACACACACATGGACTCTCATGCTCAGAACCAGATTGAAACAATTTCAATTTAATGGTATTTTCACAATGTGGGAGCTTGTGAGTAGCTGTGTGTGTCTGTGGAGCAGCCACCTGCATCCCAGAGATGGATGAGAGGACCTAATTGAAGCCACATGTGGACTCGAGGAATGCTCTAGTCTCTACTGGTGATGAAAGAGAAGAGGAAGGAGGGACAGTTAAATGTTTCTTTAATAAAGTTAAAAGACAAAACAAAAAAGATTAAAGCAAAACATGAAGCTGGAAAAACAAAACGTTCACATGAGCTTTTTTCCAAGCCTAAAATCTCCACCCAAATGCATCGTAAAGATGGTCATTTCATATTTGAGGCAACAGTCATCTGTTTTTCTCAATGCAGAGTTTGTTCTTACCTTAACTAACAGACAACACAAAAAGGCTTTTTTCATTTTTAATGTTTCACTGATAGAAGAAGATGAAGATTCTTGTCTCAGTTTCTGAATAAATGCAAAACCCACATTGCAGGAAAACATGATGGTGAAGCTCTTATAACAACGTAAAGATGAAGTTTACAGATAATGATAATTTAAGTAGAGCTTTTGTTCGCACAACAAAGTTTCTATCACAACATTTAGGCTGTTTTCCGATCTGGTAGTCCAGTGATTCGGGTTGGTTTTGGACCAAATTTCAGCTTTTATTTCATTTCCAGCTCTTTCATGATGTCAAACCAACCAAACCCTATGAAAAACCTGTACCCCTCCTCGCCTGTGGGGGCGCTGCACCAAGAATGACTGAATGAAATGACTTGAAAACCTCTGCAGAAGACACTGAGTGCAACTTCCTTCTTCACGAAATGGAAACAAATGGAGCGGAGTCAGATTTCTCTTTTGTCCAAAGATCACGAGTAATTTCTCCCACTAGCGCTAGGCTAACGGGTTTCTACTGGTTGTGTTTACCCAGAATGCCCTGCACTGTAGTCCACTTGTGGCTTCTGGAGCGGTCTCTGGTCTGCTTGCCATTCACATTCAAACTTCAACCAAACCAAGGCAGAAGTTTGTAAAGTTGAGTTTTTTTCTTTTCTCGCAAAGTTTTGCAATTTGGATTTCTGGAATTTTTCTAGAAAATTTCTGAGAATAATCTAAAAAATTCTGAGTTTTTCAATTTGAATTTACTACTTTTGTTTTTCAGCCTACAAGTGTAGTCGTAAAAATCTGAAGTTGTGCTCAGTGTCTTTATGTCGTTTCCTTTAGTGGTTCTTGATGTAGCGCCCCCACAGGTTAGGAGGGGAACAGGTTTTTCAAAATGTTTGTCTTACGTCAGAGCAGTGAGAAAGAGAACCACAGCAGCTGAAAACGTTGCCATTTTGATTCCAATTCGAACTAAATCTAAGGGACAATCAGGTGTGAAAGCAGCCTTAGAGATGAAGTTTCTTTCTAGACTTCGGTAAAGCCGACAATCTCAGCTAGAAACACAATCTGCAGGGCAGAAATGATTATATAGGTATCAATTTAATAGATATTTTCCATTTTTGGTTTGACATGCTAACTCCATTCAACACCAGGTCTTTTATTTCAAGTGTAAAGCTGACAGTTCCTGTACATATGTAAAATTCTCGTTTTATTATGAATATTTTGAAGGATTTCCGATGGAAATCTGGCATTTTAAGTGGTTGTGTTTTCACTCCATCATTCACATACACACTATTTCCAATCTACATTGGTTACAAGTTGATGTTGTCTAGAAGTTTCTCATAAAATCAGTCAAGATGTTGAATTTTCAGTGTTGACTCAAAGGGAAATGTTGAAGAAACTGTTCCTGATTTTCTCTAATAGCTTGACGTGGTACATACTGTCCTAATTTACCTCTATTATAAAGGTACAATAAGTTTCAATTCACAATTCAGCCTTTTGTTGTTTTAGAGGTCAATAACTTACGACTGTTGGAGATTTGGTAGGCCCAGCATGTAGTAGATAATAAAGAGACAATAAAACAAGATAATGATAAGATGAGATAAGATTGGCCTTTATTGTCTCTCCCAGGAGAATCGGACTCTTGTTGTAGCAGAACACAAACATAGTCTAACAGAAATTTACAAGGCCAGAGTACCAGGAACCCAACACCGAGTTGTTACACAATTCCCAACCCACTCAAAGATGACAGAAATGTCATATTATTGTTGCTCAGGTATGTTCAGAACATGAAAACATGGCCTCCAAAAGATTTGGGCTTTTACTGCATAAAGATGACCCGTCTAAATTTAGAACAGGTGGTGGAAATTATCTGAGGTGTTGCCAGATCCTGAGTTTTTCACTATAGATGTAACATTATTGGTTCTGTTAATAATAGGCTATAAAAAAAGACGTAGCTGAAATTATTCCTTTTTTCTTTCATTTGTTGATAAAGTAAGGCATAAAATGTTTGCAGGATTTATGACTTACGGCAGGGTGTTGGGGTCATTGTAGGCAGTACACCTGCTAGAAAAAATCTGAAATTGAGATTAATTTCTTAAATTTTCAGAAAAGAACATGAAAATTACCAAGTTTCAAAAGTTCAAAATTTTCACTTTCCAAAAATCAGAAATTGTCATGTATTTTCTTGAATTTTTTAAAATTAGTCTGAATTTCTGAGGTTTTTAAAAAAAATGTTTTTCACTGTTCAAACTCAAATTTCAGTGTTTTTTTTTCTAGAAAATTCTGAGCTTAATCTGTTTGATTTTTTTTCTAGCAACCTTTTGGCTTTTCAAACTCAGAAATCTCCTTGTTTTTAAAGGAGACAATAACAAGATTTTTTTTGAGCCGAAATTCACCACTTTTGCTGTCTACAATGGCTTTAATATACCATCGTATTAAATAAAATAAAGCACATTTTATTTGAAAACCATGTATCAACCAAATAAGCAACATTTTCAAGTCAAAAACATTTTTTGCCACTACATTTTTTAATAAAGATATGAGCTCAACAACAAATGTATTGTTTTTAATCTGTTATTAAAGTCATTAAACCGTCAGATTGGTGCAAAATGCTCCTCCAGCCTTTATAATGTGGTTGTGTGACGCTAACGTTAGCTTCTGTGTTGCTGCTGCTTGTTAGCATTGAGATGCTTTCCAGAACATTTGAAAACAAAATTAAGCGAGTGTCCCAACAGCAGAAATAATTGTCTTATAAATATTTTTTATCTGTTTTCAGGGATTTAAACTACAACAGCCTGGTTGAGTTTCCTACGGCCATCCGCTCACTCAGCCACCTCAAAGAGCTGTAAGACTGAACATTCTGGCTAGAAAACACTGTGTGCAAAAGTTCAATTTTCTAAAAAAATCATGACTGTATTCAGGAAAGAAAGAATGAATATGATTTCTCTTGTCTCTGTTTTCAGAGGTTTTCACAGCAACAACATCCAGTCCATCCCAGAACACGCCTTCACCGGGAACCCGTCTCTCATCTCCTTGTAGGTACCAACGAGCCAGAAAACTCTTAACATTCCTATTAGTCACAGGTTTATATTGATAATGGATATTGATATCAGCCCAAATTCATATTGAGGCCTCCCTAATTTTTCTATTATGACTGAATTTATTAAGAAATTGCACTAAAAACCCTGTTTTCGTATTTAGTAATCTTCTGCCAAAAACATCATGAATTTTTAGATTTAGCTCAGAAATTTTATAGAAAAAACTTTTACATTTCTGAGATCCAAAAAATGTCAAAAATAATTTTTAAGATTATTCTCAGAAAATGTGAGTTTTGAAAGTCTGAAATTTACCAGAAATGTCTGAGATTTTTCTCGAAAATTTTTTTGGGGATTAATCTCAAAATTTGTGAGGTTTTTTTTTCTCTCACACATATTCAACTTTTAAAACTCAGAACTTTCCTTTTTTTTTTTTTCCAAAAAAATTCTGAGATATATTTTCAACATTTCTGAGCTTTTTCATTCAAAATTTTGGCTTTTGAAACTCTTTGCCAACATTTATCCCAGGATCAGTTTTTAAGTTATGAGATCAGCTTTTAGTTTGGTTGTTTGTGTTGGGTTAAAATTTCATTATATGCATTTAATCTCAGGTCCGATCCCTCAATTTTATCTGAACAGTTCAGCAAAAAGCAGTCAGTCAATGACAACATGCCAACAGCTTATTTCAAGTTATTTTTTCTTGTTTTTTTTTCTACGACGTTTTTTAGACTAATATTCGACTTTTGAATTCAGAATTCTATTTTTTGTCTGAGCTTGATCTCAACATTTCAGAATTTTTGGGAAAAATTTACTCCTTTTTTCATCTACAATAGACGTAACAGTTGTTTATTTTCATTTGACAGATTGTTTTATGACAATCCAATCCAGTCTGTGGGACGTTCGGCCTTCCAGAACCTTCCAGAGCTTCGGACGCTGTGAGGAAAACACACACTTACACGAATCAGTTCAAAACTTCAAGATTGAATTTGCTTTTAAAAATAAACCAAATAAGTCACGCATAGCAGTCCACATTTTCAGGGAACGCATTTGCAGAGGAGTGTCATTGTGCAAGTGTGTTGCTAACTGTAGTTAGCCTCATCAGTGACCAAAACAAAGAGCTAAACCTTTCAGGTGTGACTGGAGCAGCTTAAAGTCTGGTGAGACTCGGTTCATTGATCTGTCCTCCAGAAACAATAAATAAATGTGAAAATTATCTAAGCTGTTTGTCCAAATTCTGCTGGATTAGCTCAATATTAGCGCAGTGACTGCAATAAATAAATGTGAAAATAAAAAACTTATGAAACTTTAACAAAAGCTGCAGGTCTGCGTCTGGTGAATTTTTGGTTTGTTTTTCATTCAAATCCAGAAATTTTACTCAAGAATAGAAATATTTCATAATGACATTAATCATGTAAAAGTACAGTGTAGTAAATATATTTATGAAAGTATTTTTTTCTAAAAGTAGTTTCAGTAAATGTAATTGAATGAATGTAATTTGTTACTAATCAACTCTGCCCCCTACTGGCCATAAAATTGGAAACCAGGTTGATAATAGTTTTGTGATCAGTTTTCTTCTTCTAGTCATCAATATTTTTTTAAAGTCTAGGTTGAATTTCTCTTTACACTGCCAGAGGATCCCATCAAACTTCATTTTCCTTTCATTCACAGATTAAAAGTAAAGGTCAGCTTACTTAGTATTTAGCTTGAGTCTCATTAAATCAGGTCCTAATTACACAAAGAATGTAACGCTCAAACTGAACAGCGGCCAGAACATTTTCTGTTTCCTGAACTTAAATCCGTTTCTCTCAGCTGGAACTCTGCCTGGTTTTCTCTCAGATCTCTGAACGGTGCAGCAGAACTCGCAGAGTTTCCAGATCTGTCGGGAACCAAGGGTCTGGAGAGCCTGTAAGACGCGCACACACCCTCACAGAGGAATGTTTCATATCTGTTTGCTAACCCCAAATCAAACTGTTGTTATTAAAAACTGCAGTTATTATCCTATCTGGCAGACTGGAGCTTTATTATTTCTGCAGCTCAGCCTGAAATTAAAAAGCCCTTTTGTCCTCCCGTTGCGAAGCCAAATTTCCAAGTGATAATAAACACGTTTGCAGAGTTTATTTTCTTGTATTTTTCCATCTAAACTCATTTCTGAAGATGGTATGTGTTCAGCTGTAACCAGTAGGTGGAAATGCAAACTGCAACCAAACAAACCATCCCATGTTTTCCACTGTCTGCCGTTAAAATGACCTGCAGTCTGACCCGGTTCCATTAAATGATCCCAGAATGTTGTTATAACTCATTTTGTCTAATCACAGATTTCTTTTTATTTTTCTAATTAAGTAAAAAGTTTTGAATAAATCGAATAAATAGAACAAAATGAAAATATATTTTATTAGTCATTACGGAAAACCTTTAAATGTGGCTGAATTAAAACATTTCTGCAGAGCAGAGTGGGCTGAAAATCATTAGTGGTAAAAACTCAAAATGTTTTCTTAGTGTTTTCAGACAAAAGTATTTGTAAAAATACTCGTTAAAAAACACGGTTCCTGAATTTCAATTTGATTCTCCAACATAAATTAAGATTTTTAAAATGTTATCTAAATTTTTACTGTATTTTGATGTCACCAACATTTGGTGTTTTCAAAAGTACTTATTTTATCCCAAAGAAAAACTTAATTTTGTCATAACTCGTGTCGTCCAAGTAAAGAATCGCTTTGGATGTTGATTCTGTGGTTTCTGGTAGCAGTCAGTGTTTCAACCAATCTGTCGAAGCCTTTGACTGAAAACTGTTGCTGAATATCTGGGCAGCAGAGATGATGGCATCAGTTGTTGGCAAACTCTGCTAATCCACCTCAGTTGCTTTTGCCACTCCTTTTTAAATATCCGTCTGGCTGTTTGGTTACAAAGTGGAGATGTTAGAGTCGGGGGTGTGATGTTTGCTTTTTAAAATGGAAGGAAAACCTGGATTGAACCGTCCTGCTCTGCATCCATGAAGCCCCACTGTAAACTCCTCTGGGATTTGGGGTCAAAGTTCAGCTTCTGTTTGACTTTTTCAGACGCTAATCAGGTTGTTACACTTCATAACAACTGTCCGAACTAAAAGGTAAACACAAAAACCCTTCCAGCTGCACAGCCTCTGAAACAAGAGGAGATAATTGTTCAAAAAAGCACCTCAACCAAAAAATCTGAACAAAATCAGATGCAAAGTAACAGAGATACTCCAACATGCTGAGCTTCGTAATTCTGAAGTTAATAGTTTCATGATTGCAAGACTTTGACATGACTCGTTGAGGATAGGACTGAGATGAAGTGAAAAAGCAGCCAAAGTCCAATGAAAAATCATAAAAACACGTTTTTAGTTGGAAGAGCTGCAGTCCAGTTTGTGTGAACAGCTGCTGGTCAATAAGTCGTCCAGGTGGGGTCTTGAACTGCAGCATGTTTGATTTATAAATTGTGTTTTTAGGTTTAAAATGCTGGTTTAGAGTATTCAGGAACAGAACTGTGAAGCTGCAGCTCCTGCTCTCTCAAACACATTTCCTTTTGGGCTTTCAGGACCATCACTGGAGCTCGTATCACGTCTCTTCCCAGTTCGATGTGTGAGCAGCTTCCAAACCTTCAGCTGCTGTGAGTCTTCTCATCATCTCCTTCCCAACCAGTCCTTTATAGTCCCAACACAACACCTTAATGTGCAGCAAGGTGCTGCGTTTAAGGACCGTTGGACGTCCCTGATGGCCGCTGAAGCAAAAACTGTGTTTGTGTCTGCAGCGACCTCTCGTATAACAAGATCCAGACTCTTCCAAGCTTCACTGGCTGTGAAAGCATCCAGAAGATGTGAGGTTTATCTTCATTTTCTTTTAATGAAGGATTTTATCTCTCTTATCTGGGCAAGGAATGACTTTTGTCAACCTCTGGGCCTGTAAAGCACATTTATCAAGTCTCTGGTTACCTAAGCAACCAGTAAAACACATCCAGCTGTGCATCATGGGAGCAATTAGCAGAAGTGTTGTTTGTTTAAGACCAATCAGAAGCCAGGAAAATTTAAAGTGATGCAATGGAAACAGTGTGGCTGGTCTTTGTGTTGCAGTGATCTCCACCATAACGAGATCGAGGAGCTGAGAGAGAACACCTTCACCGGCCTGATGACACTTCGCTCACTGTAAGAACACACACTGTGAAGATTTAATTAGTCTTCAGATCCTGACCCATGAACCCAACTTAGACCTCTCTAAGTACTTCCAAATGGAAGCGCTGATCAAGGTGGTCCGCTTGTCGTTGGAGCAGCTGTCATGAAGTCAGTGAGGGAGGAGAGGAACCACCACTGCTGCTGCTCCGTCCATCTTAAATGAATTCCAGCTCAGGAAAAGCAATGCAAAAAAGCACAAAAATAATAGAATGTAAAAATTTCAAATTGACAAAATACTCTGACAATAAAACATCAGCAGTTAACCGAGGGGAGGAAATATGAAGCAGATTTCTGCAGCCTGTAAAACATTTCAAATGACATGTTAAATGTACTGAATGAAACAAACCAAAAACAAGCTGATGAAGAGGCTGGAGGGTCATCCTCAGATCATTCTGCCAAAAAGGGACAAACGGTGTGGTGGTTGCAGACTGAGTCAGGTTGGGCGTACCAGGGATGGAAGGGCTGATGAGAGGCAAGGAGAGACCGAGGCTTTAAAGGCTAGAAACAGGTGACCAACACTCAGGAGAGTCACAGAGGAAAAACTGAAGGAGTGGCCTTGAGTCTGACGACTCCAGCAGTGTTTAGGTGCCAGTCACCCGGGCAGCGACCAGCACTTTGAAAATTCAAGGAGTGACTCAAACACCTTGAAGACTTGAAGGATGTCTGGGGCTCTGAGGACTCAAGAGAGTGACCAGCATTTAGAAAACTTGCATAACGACTGGGGCTCTGAAAACTTTGGGGTTGGCCACAGCTCAAGAGGACTGAAGGAGTGACCAGCACTCTGAAGACTCAGACAGTGACGGACACCTTGAAGACTTGAGGAAGTCTACAGGAGTCGCACAAGGGACTCCTGAAGTGGACTGTAGGAAGGGAGGCTCTGTCTGAGGGCAGTGGTTGATTATGAAGGCTGGTCTGATGGAGATGTGAGAAACAGACTCTGAAGATAATGGAGTAAATATATATTGAAGACAGTTCTGACGATAACGTGTCAACTGTACAGGATACCATCAGGGACGAGAGGCAAAAATGATGCTGGTGATGCAAGAGATGGAGATGTTAGCCCAACCTGGGGGAAGTTGTATGATGCAACCCTGGGACAGAGGAAGGACGTGTGGATGCTGTGCTGCTCACTCCATGCAGCCTGAATGGAGATCCTGCTTAAGAACATTTTAAATCACATTTTAAAGAAACTAGGAGAAAGCTGAAAGAGTTTGAACTGTTCTCCAAACATAAATCCTCATTCAGTTAGCTTTGTGCGATATTGATGCTGATATTTTATTCCTTTTCTTTTGTAGAGATTTATCCTGGAATCGGTTGTCATCTGTGAAGCCAAACTCATTCTTTGCTCTAACGTCTCTCTCCAAACTGTGAGTTTTTCTGCAACACCAGAGACTCTTTACAAACCCTATGATGCATTTAAATCAGAGGATTTTGCCTCATTCCCTTTCAGGAGGTTTAACTGCCCTTGTTAAAAGTATTAAGCAGTAAAATCAGATTACTGATTATGTAAATACTTTAGCGTGAACAACTGGATCATTTTCTGTTTCTGCAGTGACCTGTCGTCCAATCAGCTGTCCTCTCTGCCTCTCACTGGTCTGCAGAGTTTAACTCACATTCGGCTGGTGGGAAACGATCAGCTGATGGAGTTAATACCCCGAGAAGACCTGCCACGAGTCAGGTGGGGTCCTTAGAGTCTGTTTTTTCTGCCTACTCTGCAATTTCTAGGAATGAATACTAAGAATTGTAAGTGTTTCCTCAGGGTGATGGAGCTTCCCTTCGCCTTCCAGTGCTGCGCCTTCATCTCCTGTGAGGCAAGAGGAGAAGGAGGATTATCCTGGGAAAGAGAAGAGGCGGCAGACTCTACAGCGAGAGACGCTCCTTTCCTTTCCGGTCACGGTAAACGCCACAAAATGCACCTCAGACTTCCTGATGCAAAGAACACAAAGAAAACATCAGAGGGGAGACAGAAACGTGAAAATATAAAGAAACAAAACAGACACAACTGAGGACGACGCCGCATCAAGGCAGATGTAGATGGAAAAAAATTTGTAAATTTATAACGTTTGAAACTCAAAACTTTCCGCATTTTTTTCTGGAAAATTTATCAGATAAATTGCAAATTTTTTGTAGAAAAATCCCCAAAACTTCTGAGCTTCAAAAGTTACAAATTTGCTTTTTGAACCTAAGCTCAGAAACTTTCTAGGAAAATACTAAAATGTTTTGAGTTTCAAAAGTCCCAAAAAATTTTTGACAAATTTTGAACAAAATTTTTTGACTTTTGAAACTCAGAACTTTCCATATTTTCTAGAAATGTCTTTCTGTTTTTATTTATTGCCTGAAATTATATATTTTTCTGACTACAGTGGACCTAACTCGCCCTCCTAACTGTGACTATGAAGCTGAAATGGAAAAAAAAAAAAAAAGATCAAAATAAAACAAAACAGATCAATTTAATTTATACGTCCTGAAGAAAATATGACACATTTAATATATTTGAGTACAAAGGCTCTCAATAAAAGTGGCCCTCGAACATTTGATTGTTTTCTGGAAATGTGATTTTAATAGAATTATCCAGCACAAAAACACATTTAATAGGTAAACACATTTAATAGGTAATTTATTTATTTTCCAAACAGCAGTTTTCTTCCCGTGTGTTTGTGTGCAGTGGATCAGGACTGGGACGATTTTCTGATGGAGTTTGAAGACGAACCCAAACCTGAACACTCTGTTCACTGCAGCCCGGCTCCAGGTAGCAAAATGTCTCTTTATGTTCACTTTTTTCGACTTGTTTCAAGTTACAAAAACACTATATACATTTGATTTGCATACTATTTGTCCATTGGCTGATTTTGTACGACCAGTCGGACCTTGTCATGAGTGGGAACTTTAAAGAACCTTAAATTGGAAGTTTTGAATAGAGAGATGTTGCAAAAACTGAAATTGTGCAAAAATAAAACTCATAATTTTTCGTCTACCAGCCGGGGTTCTATGATGCAGGACGGAGATGAGAAGATTGAGTCCAACTTGTGTCCAAATGAGGAAATGTTAGGCAAATATAACCACAAAGGTTTATATTTTGGGCCAGCAGGGCAGAAAACTGATCCAAACTCCTAGAGCCTTAAATCCAGAGTCCTGGGGTCCAACAACAAACTAAAGCCACAGTCACTAGTTTTATTAGCAGTGGAGTCAGTCAGCCCATCAGGGAGAGAGCAGGTGATGTGTTCAAGGCTGGCTGGGAAAACAGAAATGTGAGTTGATAACAAACTGCACAAAGAAAGTCAGTTTATAATTTGGTGTAAACTGTGATTAAAGCTGGACTCTGTAACTTCTATAAAAAATGTTTTTACATATTTAGCATCAGGTTATAGTTTAATATTATGCAGATGAGCTGCTATAGTTTTCTAAAGAGATGCACTAAATACAACCATAACCACGAGGAGGGGCTTAGCGCTGTCAATCATCCACATGTACTCGCTGCTAACTGTACTAATGGCAGAGAAATAGATTACCATTACAGAAAATCTTTTTGACTGCAGTCAACAGAAGCTAGGCTAACTAGCCTTAGCATTGACAACAGGCTATGCTAACTGCAATGTAGCAGAGCCCATTGGTGATTGACAACGCTAAGACCTGCCTCCTGGCTCTGATTGGTTGGGGAATATCATCCTCCATCAGTTTAAACTAAAATATAAAAACTGTTACAGCAGCTGTAAATGAGCTAATCTTTGGATCGCTCTCAGGTCCGTTCCAGCCGTGTCTCCGCCTTCTCGGCAGCTGGATGATCCGAGGCGGCGTCTGGCTCATCGCTGCGATCTCATTGGTCAGCAACGGTCTCGTCGTCCTGTTGGTCTTCTTCTCTCCAGCCAGCGTCGTCACGCCCCCCAAGCTCCTGATTGGCCTGCTGGCTCTGGTGAACGGCCTGATGGGAGTGTGGAGCGGCTGGCTGGCGGCGGTGGACGCCTGGACGTTTGGCAGCTTCTGGAGGTTTGAACACGGTTATTATCTGACTAACTTCCTCCTCCTTGGTTTTAATGTCTGTTCTGTTGCAGGTTCGGGGTGAAGTGGGAGAGCAGCTTCCTGTGTCGCCTCAGCGGCTTCCTGTGTGTGTTTGCGTCTCAGACCGCACTCTTCCTGCTGACCGTCGCGGCTCTGGAGCGATGTCTGTCTGCTGCAGGTGCAACGCAGAGCAGCAAAACCGACAGGAGCAGCGGTGAGAGAAACATCAGCAAACATTTTGTCACCATGTAACTTTAGAACCAATATTCTGTCACCAATCCTAATTCACATGGCGGTTTTATCAACTTACAGTTGAATACGGTTTGACGCCTGGCATGAAGTTTTTATTATCCAATGTTTATTCTGCACCCAGAATGCATTGCTGCAGAACAGGAGACATTTTGAAAGATATATTGATGTCCTCCATGTTTTCTGACCAATAATAGAAGTGATAAATTCGGCAAAATCAGAAACAAAGTTAGAAAAACTCAACAACTTCAAATCTGATTCCATGAGGGAGGCGTGAAATAACACATTTATTGTAAAACTACCAATAAGAACCATTGTAGAGAAAACATTATTTTTTTACATTTTTAGATTAATATTGGAAAACCTTGGAAAAAAAACTTAGAAATTTCTATTTAAAAAGTCAAAAATTTGCAAGAAAAATTCACATTTTGAGATTAATGTAAAAAAAAATTGGAAAATGTTTGATTAATTGATTAATTGCAAAACGTTGGAGTTGCTTTGGAGCTTGGAAACCTCCCTGGTTTTTCCAAAACTTTGAGTTTTTGGTGGAAATTTACTCCTTTTTTCTGTGTTCAATGGCCCTAATTAATAGTTGTAGAAATATTATGTTGTAACATGTTTAGTTTTTAACATGGTGGGTATGGACTTGGTTGACCATAATATTAGCATTAGCATTAGCAGAACTAATGCTTTAGAGAGATCAAACACAAATTTGAAGATATGTAGCATGACGTTTCAAATGCATTGAATTGTGAGGTTTGAATTATTTGATATCTTATTTCATGTTTTAAAACTCATCCATGTTTTACCTTCTGTTCCTGCAGGTCGTTCTTCGTCGCCGCTCTTCATCCGTTTGTCGATCTTCCTCTGCTTCCTGCTCGGCTTCGTCGTCACTCTGCCTCCGCTGATGGCCGGTCACAGCAGCTCCTCCTTCTGTTTGCCGCTGCCTTCGTCGTCCTCATCTTCCTCTTCCCTGGCCTTCGTGGTCTCCCTGGTGCTCTTTGACTCGCTCTGTTTCCTCGTCATGACGCTCGCCTACACTCGCCTCTACTGCCGCGCCAGCAAAGCTCCGCCAAACTCCGACGACGACGCGGCGTTGACTCGTCACGTCGCCTGGTTGCTCTTCTCCGACTGCCTGCTCTACCTCCCCGTCGCCTTCCTGTCCTTCTCCTCCCTCCTGCGGCTCCCTGCCACTGGGCCGGAGGCCGCGAAGGGAGTCCTGCTGCTCGTGACGCCGCTTCCGGCTTGCGTAAACCCGCTTCTCTATCTCCTCTTCAATCCGCTCGCCAGGGGAGAGCTGGCGGCGCTGGCGGCTGGCGCCCGCAGGGGCACAGTGGCGTCAAAGTTACAGAGAAGAGGCATGACTGGAGGACGGCCGCTGGATTCAACGTATGACGAAGACGCGGAGAAACAGTCATGTGACTCGACTCAAGCGCTGGTGGTTGTGGAAGGTGTGAAGAAAGAGGAGGAGCAGAGGAGCAAGACGCAACCGTCGCTGTCGGCCGCCCAACGTCGCTAAACGGACATGAAACTCACACGTGTAGCGTTTGTTGGTCTGACCTGACAAAAGCTTGAAGATTGATCCCAAAGGTTCTGCTTCATTCTTAGACTTAGACTCGTACTTTATTGATTACTGGGGAAGACTCCCTCAGGAAATTGAAGTTACCAGAAAAGTGGCACCCAGTGCCCAAAATACAAAAGAATACAACAAATACAAGTTAAATACAAAGGTACACACTAAATGTGTAGCCGAAACCCTAAATTAAGCAAAAAATAAGCAAGGAATAAGAATATAAATAAAATATAAATACAACACAAAAGAAAATATAGGAATTTGGCAGATAGATTGACCAGTGATATGGTATCGCACTATATGGTTTGGCCTGATAAGCATGGCTATTTGCAGAAAAGTACAAGGGGTCACTTCTCCTTCTTCCCTCTGTCCTGTTCTAACGGAACCTTCAAAATCTGCCTCATTTTAACAGGAAGCTGTTGTTCAAAATTCCCATTTACACTTCAATTTGGGTTTGAACTGCTTCTAAAAGCAGATAAAGCACTTAAAATAACAGTAAGTTCATGTTTTTGATGTGAGGAAAATGAGCCATTTCAAAAACCTCCCATATATTAAATCACATTATACTTGCACTATGCCATCACCTAGCAACTAGTGGAATTCCACCTGTTACCTAGCAACCCAGGTCAGCTGGTTTTACTCTGTATGCGCTGTACAATGGCTGCTGGAAAAGACAAGAGTTTTGTTGTTCACTTACCATCCGGAAACTAATTGCTGCATTTTTGTTGGTTGTGCAGGAGGCTCCACTTCTGCTTTTTAAAGATGTACGCTTGAATAGTTGTGCATCTGTTTGCAGCTATTTTACGAGTGAGTGTAAACAGTGAGTTGGGGGCGTGGCCAGCAGCAGCTTATTTGGACTTAAAGTGACAAGACGTAAAACGGCTGAAATCTGATTATCTAAATATAAAATATAATGAACATGATTTGTATAGGCCATAGAAAGAACCTGTTGCAAAAAGCAGAACAGATCATCCTTTAGGTTTCAGGGCATGAAAGTAAAGGAACTTCAGCCTTTGGTGGAAAATCCAGCATGTTTCAGTGAGACAGATTTCTATGACGGAGATGGAAAAATGGGGCAAATTTCCACAAAAATATTAAGAAATTTTCAGTTTAATTTCAGAAATTGTCTTGAAAAATGTAAGCAGAATATTTTCTTGGTTAATCTCAGAGATTTTCTTTTTGAGTTTCAAAAGTAAAAAATATATAGAAATTTTGGAAAGTTTCTGAATTTGAAAATTCAGAAATTTTCAACATTTGAAACTCAGAAAACTACAAAGTTTTTTTCAAGATTTTTTTTAAAAAATTTTTCTCAAAAAACTTTTTGTACAGATTTTTGACTTTTTAAACTCAGAAATTTTCTGACATTAATCTAAAAATTTGAGGGTTTTTTTCTCACAAATATTGGCTTTTCAATTTTTTGAAAAGCCAATATTTATGCCAATTTTTTGGGATAAATAATTTTTTTTCTACACTGGTTCTAATACGGCATTGTATTTCCCCCATTTATTCCCTGTCATCACTAACACAGCTGGTTTGCGTGACTCTTCTCCCGATACAGGAAATCCTGATAATTTGAAGCATAAGTAGCTGATTGACGTGATTTCTGAGAATATAAATACATTTTTTAGGTTTTATTGTTGATTTATTTGGTGTTTTTATGTGGCAATCCCATGTAAATGAGGCCAAAACACATCCAGAAATGACTTTAGGGGACCAGATTTCATAAATTTTTGCTCTGCTTTTCCAGCTGTTGTCAGGTGAGATCAAACCTAAAGTCCAGCAAATGTAGCAGCTGAAGAAGAGAAGCCTGAACTCATTTTTCAATTTTTTTCTGTTTTGACCAGGCGGTTTGTTTCAGACATCATGAAGGGTTTCATTTTAAAACATGGTTTTGCAGCAACGCGCCACCAAATGTTGGTGCTAACGTCTCGTGTTTCTGCGAGCGAGTGTGAAAACTGCAGCCCGCGTGAGAGTTTCGTCAACCCGGAGGAGAAAACCAGCTGCAGAATCATCCGTCCATTCAGTCTGAAATGTTTATGTCTTTAAGCTCATTCTGGCCTCATTTTCAGGTCACGAGTATAAAAATAATCTGTTTTTGTGTTGTAAATAGGCGCTACTGTGACAATCTTCATTTACGTAGACTGTGAGATTTCTGTTTTTTCAAGGTTTTTGTTGTGTGTATATTACAGTTGTTTTTTTAACGCTCGTCGTTTTCATGTTTGTCATGTGAAGTGGTGATTGTGAACACTGTTTCACATAAATGTGACCTAAAATACCTGCAGATTTTCTCACCTCTCTTGCTAAACCTTTGGGCAGGAGAAACATTTTCTACTTCATTTATTTATTTTCTTTTTTTAAATGGTCTGACGTTATATATATTGTAGAGGAAAAATTTTAATCTTTGCTTCTTGTGGTGATTTAATGGACGTTTTACAGTCATCTGCTTTTGAATACATCAACTCTGATGAGTCTTAAATCAAAGCTACTTTATGTATTTCAGTATATTTTAAACTAATATTTAAAAAATGGCTGAGAAGTTTAAGAAATGAAACCTGCTTTGGTTAACATAGAAACTTTGATTTATAACCATAATTTTGCTTTAACTATAATCAAATAAAATATTAAACTTTAACAAAAATAAATGATTACTTATTTTCAGTTAAGTGCTCCATAGTTCTGGCAATTTAAGGACATGTCTGAAGACAAATGACAAAAATGGATGATAAAAAACATTTTTTGCTGTTTGAGTAAATTTAATGCTAATATTTAATAAAAGGTTTTGGGGGGGTTTTTTATCTGAAATTCAGACTCTCCACACTTTTCATTTAACTGAAGAATAAAATGTTGCAAAACAAGATTTGTTTTAATCTTTTCCCTTGATTAGATAAGTAGTATTAAAATGATCCAGCTGTGTGAATTTTCCGTACGATTGGGTATTTAAAAATTAATTTTGACTAAGTAATTAAAACTGGATTTTTAAAATATAGATTCAAACAGTAGAGCTGTTAAAATATATGAAAAGGATCAATTCACTGTCAAACTGCATTTTTTCCAGTGTTAAATTATTTCCATACTTATTTGCTGGTATTTTGAAAAGCAAAGGTATTTTTATTATTTTGGGTCAATCATGTTTTCATAACCTTTTTGCTGTATTTTTCAGGTGGGAATTAGAAAATAAAGTTATTTCATCTGAAACAAACTTAAATGGATAAATTCAGCAACACTTCAGATGAGTCTGCCTCAAATATTAATAGTTATAACAAGAAAAAACACATAAAATCTCAATTTATTTGTAACCACAAGGTAATGGTTGAATAACAGAAATGTGATCAGAGGGACCGGGAATCAAACAATGACCTTCCGATTGCAGCAAGACTACTTGATATATTGTTATTGACACATTGCATAAATTACAGGGTTTGAACAAGTTATAGTATTCCTATCTTTGTATTTATTGGATTTCCTCTCAGTTCTCCTTCATTATCATGTTCATTTAGTTTATATATCAGCTTTTTCTGTGTATTTCACCCAAAGTCTTATATGGGCAGATTTTTCTTTGATATCGTCCCATTTTATTTTTTTAATTACACAGACACTTAAATACACAAGTAGATGGAAATTATTTTAGATTGTGGTTTCTGCCTTCCTCAAAATTTGCCCCACAGTTGGTCTAATTGTAACAACATTTAATAACTTTGGTAAAAGAATTTGTCTTGATATGTTCTTCTGTATGTGAAGTGGTGATTTCTGGTAAAAACACGTTTTCAGTGTTGTACTTTCAATATCTAACGCTTTCAAAATAAAACAAATCAGCTGAAATAAGAGGGCGGGGCTTAAGCCTAGGCCCCGCCCTTTTTATGTGTCACCACAGCAACCATTAAATGAATATAGAAAAAATTAATAATCAAAAAGCATGACTATGAATGTGTGCTGTGTTAAAAGTTTGCTGCTGCACTTTTCTGTAATCAGTACTTAAAATGTAAACAAATTAAATGTTTCCTGAAACGTAAAATGGTTCTTCCCTCCAAATGTTCTTCTTGTAAATCTTTGTAAAGTACTTCAAGTGTTTGTTGGAGTGTAGTTTGTCAAGTTTAGCTTGACGTTACAGTTTGTGACGTAAATAAATCAGCAGTGCTGCAAAATGTTTAGCTGAGTCTGTCATTATCCCTATTAGCATTAGCAAACAAGTTTACATTTTATGTAAAGCAAGTAGATTTCTTTACTAACTTCGCCAAATCCTTTTTCACTCTAAATTCGGAGCCTCCCTGAATGCCTCATACGTCCGTAGTGTGACGTATTAACGTCAGAGTTCACAGCAAATGGCAAAAATATGTTGTCCGGGTGCTGCAGGCTTCTATGTGAGAGACATATTATGAACAAATTGGTGTAATGTTCAAAATAAAAAGTTAAAATATCTGTATTAAGGGGGAAAATAACCTCTTCAATGTAACTCAGCGCTCATTGTGTCGAAGAAAAGCGATTCGGTGAGTTAGCATGTTAGCTACGTTATACTACAGCGTTTTATTGACGCATTAATATGACCAGAAATATGTTCTGTTAAGAGAAAATACGTTATTATACTGCGTTTTCTAAAGTTTTTAGTGATGTTAAACTGAGGTTTACATACATAAAACATAAATATATTCGTTTTCCCAGATAGCCGGTGATGTGTGAGCAAGGCCTGAAGCAGAGATGCAATGTCGGCCTGGTGGTCACTATTTCATGGTGATGAAAAGGTAGGAAAATATTCATAATATTGGTAAATACAGCTTGCCCAGTAGATGGCGATGTAGCATAGAATTGGGTAAATATTAATACTAGATATTGCTATAATTCCAAACTTTTATATCGTCTTATCCTTACAATGAGTTCCAAAAATATCTAATTCTTTATACTAAATTGATATAATACGAGTTTTACTATTAGAAGAGATTAAATATATAAATTTTTAATGATGCTTCAATGCTATGCTGTCCAAACCCGACTGGATGCTGGTATTGTCAAACAAAACATGGAAACTACAATTACTCATCAGCCCTTCAAACAGATGGTTACCATTGAGACCGAATACAGGTGTGGACATACTGCTGACCAAACATTTCCTCTAATGACTCTGGTGACGCGTCTGAAGGCCTGGGAGTTGCTGGTTGATGTTCTACAGTAAATCACTTGTAACACGATAATCGCAGTCTTGACGTTTCCTCCTCTTTGAAGGTGCTATCGGCCATTTTTAGAACAACTGATGACTAAATCTTTATCATCGGCCCTGGTGAAGTATAAAATTGGCTCAGTCATCCTCTACCTTTTTGAGTTTTTACACATATTTCGGGATGTACCGATGTGGAACAGTGACTCCACGACTGAATAAATAACTGACTTAACATAAACGTTTATCTGGCTAGAATGAGTCACAGCAGCTTGTCAGTCACACTCACTGACTGATGTGGATGAATCACTAAATAAAACTTAAAAGTGGATTTTTTTAACACTGAGAAGTTTAATGTTTGGAAACTTACCAAATATTAAATGTTCTTTTAAGGATCTTGATCAATTTGATCAAGAGGTCGATGTGACACCCCTGGACTTACTATTTCCAGTTCTGCCAGATGAGTAGAAAGAGAGGCTTCATGGATTTTTGTCAGCAGAAAGAAAATTGCTGGGCAAGGGTTGTATCCCCTACTCCAGCATCTTTCTGCCTGACTGACTAAACTTTCTACCTGACAGATTTAAAGAGGAAGCTAATGAGCTGGATTAGCAGTGCTTGCCAACAACTGATGGTGAATTCAGGATATGTTAAATTAAACTGTTGGCAGCAAACAGCAACAGTCTTCAATCAGAGACCTCAAGAGCCGTTGCAAGACTGACTGCTATTGGAGATCAACAACATTTGATGAAATAAAGTATGTTTGAATTGAGCTCAATTTCTACTTATTGTTTGTCTTTAATTAAATGTTTTATCACTCTTGGATTATTCACGTCTGCTTTGGTTCTCTCTCCACCAACAGCCTCAGTTTTTTTTTTCTTACATCTGTTTGACAGTTTGGGTGGATTTTTAGTGTTAAGCTGCTAATTTTATGTTCCAGTTGTTCAAACTCAACTGATGTGAGTCATTCTGGGTTATTTCTAAAACAATCGCACAATTATTCACAACAAACCACAGAATCTGACTCACATAGCTGCTGATGACGTGTAGTCATTGCAACGCAAATGAACCAAAATGGAGTTTAGATTTATCTGTAGTATAAACTGTTTTTTGGGGTTTATTTCATACCTATAATTATTCATAGAATTGGGTAAATTGACGTGAATTATTTATTTCAATTGTTCTTTTTTATTTTTTACTCATTTTTTCCAGATGGGTCACCTGTTTTGGATTGAAAGAACCAAAAATTAAAGATGATGCTACATCGCCATCTACTGGGCAAACGTGGAAATACAGTAGCGCTCAATTTAAATGACTTTCCCCCAAACGTTTTTTCATTAAGCCAAATTAAAGATTGTTTTTTCTCCTTTCACTAAAACCCATTAAATCAGTCCATCTATAGTTATAAAAATGTACATTTATGTAAAAAAAAATTTTCCCTTCCTGTTAATTTATTTGAACTTCAGCAAATCGTCTTCATCATGTGTCGATGATTGAATGCATTGATTTGAGTGAGAGATGTGGGAGTTTTTTCTTTAGACAGCACTGTTGGATTCCAGGATGTCTAATTTTTAGACTGAAATTTGTTTTTTATGAGTCATGCTGCACAATTTGGGGGTGTGTGTTTCACTAAACCCTACTCTATTGAGTTCATATCCTGACATTTTATGATTTCCTGAATTTATTGGACTTTTGGACACTTCTGTCGGAATAAAATTAATTCAGTTAAGTAAAATTTGAATGATTTTTTTTGAGAAACTTTAGACAGATTTTTACTACGCCGTGCTTTTTACTTTTACTTGAAGTATCGCTGCTCTTACTTAAGTAAAATTTCTGGATTTTTTACAAAACGAACATACTTTAATTACAAATTTTCCACACACACACATACCAACAGTTTTCTTTAAAGTTTTATTAGTTTTGAGCGAAAATTTATTTAGAAAACGCTTTCTTTTATTTGATTTTGTTATTTTTTATTACATACACAAGTTATTAGGCCCGAGCAGCTAAGCGCTGCGAAGGCCTATTGTTTCTGTACTGTTTCTTATTATTAGGCCCGAGCAGCTAAGCGCTGCGAAGGCCTATTGTATCTGTACTGTTTATTATTAGGCCCGAGCAGCTAAGCGCTGCGAAGGCCTATTGTTTTCCTATTGTTTCTTATTATTAGGCCCGAGCAGCTAAGCGCTGCGAAGGCCTATTGTTTTCCTATTGTTTATTATTATTATTATTATTCTTCCACCCAAATGAATTGGCTTTTTGGGGGCTTTATCATATTCAAAAACTCACCAAACTTGGCGGAGGCCTTAAGCCTGTTTAAAATTTACGTATTTTAAAGTCGTAGCAAAAATTGCAACAGAAATGGCTCTACGGCGCCACCTAGAAATTGGAAAAACACCCTTTTACCCTCTGCTATTCACTTACTTTATCGTAGACACATGAAATTTGGTACACTTGTAGAACTCCCCAAGACGCTCAAAATTTACAATTAATGTCATAGTGCAAGTATCACAGGAAGTCAGCCATTTTTGATTGAAGTTCCCATTTTGACCCATTTTTGCCGATTTTTGCCGTTTACAGCCTTTGTATTTGATCTATCTCCTCCTAGGGATTTTGATTGATCGACTTCAAACTCGGTCAGTCTGTTCATAAGGCATGTCCCATCTAAAGTTATCTAAACGGTGAGTTTTTGAGTATGCTGAAGGGGGGTTAGCAGGGGTCAAAGTTCACCTACTCGCCATAAAAAATAAACTGCTATATCTCTTACACTGAAACTCACAGAAGCATCAAAGTTTCTGTGATTGATCATCATCGGGTCTTCTACAATACCCTATGGTCGAATGATGACATCACTTAGGCCACGCCCCCTGAGAACAGGAAGTGTAATGTTTTACTGTGAACTGTCGCTATCTGACCCCTTTGACCTCATCAACATGAAACTGTGCCCAGACACAGAAAACATGTTGGTGTATTGAGGATTCTAACCCCGACCAGCTTCGATGGAGCAGGTGGGCGTGGTGGCGTGGCGAAGTCACCTGTAACGCCATCGCCATACGTTTGGCTCTCAATTCCACATTTTCGGGCCCAGCTGCTGCAAACTCATAAGGATGGACCCTCATCCACTCCCCAACAGGAATCCATCACAATATTTGGTGGGCGTAGCCTAATTTCTCTATAGCGCCCCCTAGAAACTTTAAATGATCAGCCCCAAGCCATGCTTTAACCTACAAATACGAAACTTTGTACACATGTGTACCTTGTCAGGACGTACAAAAAAGTCTCTTGGAGCCATGGTCTAAACCCCACAGGAAGTCGGCCATTTTGGATTCAAGTTCGGTTTTTGACCCCATTTTTGCAGTTTACAGCCTTCATATTTGATCTATCTCCTCCTAGGGATTTCGATTGATCGGCTTCAAACTCGGTCAGTCTGTTCATAAGGCATGTCTCATCTAAAGTTATCTAAACGGTGAGTTTTTGAGTATGCTGAAGGGGGGTTAGCAGGGGTCAAAGTTCACCTACTCGCCATAAAAAAATAAACTGCTATATCTCCTACACAGAAACTCACAGAGGCACCAAAGTTTCTGTGATTGATCATCATCGGGTCTCCTACATTACCCTATGGTCGAATGATGACATCACTTAGGCCACGCCCCCTGAGAACAGGAAGTGTAATGTTTTACTGTGAACGTTCGCTATCCGACCCCTTTGACCTCATCAACATGAAACTGTGCCCAGACACCGAAGACATGTTGGTGTATTGAGGATTCCAACCCCGACCAGCTACGATAGAGCAGGTGGGCATGGCGGCGTGGCGAAGTTACCTGTAACGCCATCGCCATACGTTTGGCTCTCAATACCACATTTTCGGGCTCAGCTGCTGCAAACTCACAAGGATGAATATTTATCCACTCCCCGACTGGAATCCATCACAATATTTGTAGGGCGTGGCCTAATTTCTCTATAGCGCCCCCTAGAAAACAGCAGCCCATAGGTTATGTTGTTATTAATTATTTAAATATACATTATTATAACTTTTTATATATATATATATGTTTATTTTGTGGGTTAAAGTACAAACATTCATTCATTTTTGCTAGAAATAATACAAACAAAGTCATTCAGCAAAACTTATGACACAGCGAAGTAAGAACACACTGGGGTCAGTGTTGATGGAGTACCACTGGCACCTTGTGGAGAAATACTGGTACTGCTAGTGCAATACCAGTATTGCGACAGCAGGAGGCAGTGGTACTCCATCAATGAGAAAACAGATCGACGCTACGTAATAACAGTCAGCCGGCGACAGCTGGAGCTGCAAAGTTTTCCTGAACATTTTGTTTGCTTTTTGGAGCCAGAAACTGGACTACGCTCAACATTTTGCTTGGATTTTGGAGTTGCAAATACGAACCACGCTTTGGCAAGAAGGCTCTGTTGGACCGGAGTTGGAGAAGTTTAATGGGCTCTTTGCACCTCAGCTTACACGTTCGGGAATAACGGCTGAAATGTTTTTCCAAGGTAAATTAATAATGTACATCGATCCGAAACCCCAACAAGTAAGGCAAAGAAAGGTTTTAAGATGTTCGCCTCTTTATACAT